GAAAGAGAAATATATTCTCAAGATGTTTTATTTCAGTACATTTTGCGTTATTGTCGGCCGTTTAATTACAAACGACGCTTTATTTTCAATTTGAAATTTGTTTCGTTAAAAGTTTTGACTTTACTGGTGTTTTTCATTGCCTAAGCCAACTATTTTTTAATATTTGTTCATGTTTTATTATTCTCTGACTATTCAGCTTTAATAAAAGACCAACCATGATGAAATTAAGCCAAGTGCTGATTCTCAGTGACCAAAAAACTAACTAAAGTCAAAGTCGTCAATCCGCCATATTTGGACGCCATGTTGGGGCAGTGCGTTCACTTTTTTTTGTGGAAACATTGGCATTTTTTAAATAAATAATTACAAGGAACACAACGATATGCAATTTATGGGAAAGTGGGAGGGGAGGGGGGAGGGAGAGCTTGCACGATGGTGGTTCTGACACATCATGTATATAATAGCATTGTGGACTGGACCATCCTCCCAAATCTTTATTTCATTGACCAATCTTATGGCAGTTATTTTCCAATCTTAATTAAATTCACTAATTTAAATCCTACATGTCCATTTAAATCTAAATGGATATTAAACAGGGCGGATCAGGCTCTCTTTGGTTCCTTGGCCACCCCACCTATAACTTCTCCGAGAGAATCGGGAGTCGAAGAAGGATCCAAATGTATTATAAACAGAACCATCCAAGCAGCTAAGGAACAGATACCAATGATTGAAGGTCTACCAAAAAGACCAATGGTTCAATGACACGTGTAAAAAAAACCTTGAAGATCGCCGAAAAGCTACTGAAAATTTGATAGAATACAAAAGACATCGCGCTATTTGTAGGAAATCAACACCGAATTCCTCACATTCCTCCTCCATCAAATACCACATATCTCACCAGTTTATTTTTATCTTTCCTCTCCGAATTCAGGCATCTTGTTACTCCATTGATATCCCTTCTCACCAATCTTGTATCTCCTTGTATTCCTACTCCCGAAAATCCTTAAATGACTTCCAATGAACTTATTTCCATTCTCCTTTGGTATGCGAATAGTGTTAGAAATCATCAGGCGAGGGCTAAGGAGGATGTTATTGACCTTTGTATCTGATTATTTGTTGTTATGTTACTATTGATATTTAATGACTGTTGGTTACATAGCAGCATTCTAGTTAACTATCTTTTAATTTTGTTTAAAATATCTGCATAATGTGTTCCTAAATGTTCTGTATCTGTTTTGTAATTTACTGTTATTCTCGGGGTTGAGCTATGGGGCTCCACCAAGCCTTAAAATTCCTCTCGCATACAGTCCTTGCAATCCAAAATCCTTCGTAAAATCCTCAATGTTACAAATAAAATTATCCATAATGACCTTAATGTTCCTTATGTATCAGATTTGGCCCAATCCAGATATCTGTCCTTCCATAATAAACTTCATAACCATCCCAACCCTCTTGTCTCTAACCTTGCTTCCTATTCGATTCCTGATAACCCTCCGAGGCGTCTGAAAAGAAGATGGCCACGTGATCTTCTAATATAGACATATTATTAGAGTGCTACCAATGGGTAGTTTCTAAACATGTGTTCCATGTCTTTATACCAATGTGCGAATTTACCAGATGTATTTTTTGTATACAGTTGTAAATATCATTTAAAATAAAATAATAAATAAATAATAACTGTTATTCTATTGTTTTTTTCGTGATGTGGATCGCTTCTTATATTTTTCTATTGTTTTTTTTATTAAACACTACCTTAATTTTGTTAGTAAGTTCATGTATGTATATCATTTTGTAGCAGGTTTTAATTTTCATTTTGTTTCCTTGATTGTGAATTCTTGTCTTGATTGTTCTCGTGTATTATATTTGTTTTATCAAAGAATTGGGTAATGAATTTTTTTGTTGATTTCTTTGCTGTACTATTTTCTTTTTGTGTTACTTGTTTTTTGGTTTTATTATCATTTCGGTTTAATGTTGTATTTTTTTGTAAGCGACTATACCATAGCTTGTTGATTAGGTTGGCATGGTAAAAATTTTCAATTAGTATTTTATAAATTTCTGTTTTTAATTGTGGAATGAAAGGTTTATCAGTTAGTTCTATTGTCTTGTGTATTATTATTTGGACGTGTTAATTATTAGATATCCGGAATGGTTTGAACTGAAATTAAAAATTCTATTACTAGTTTTTTTTTTTTTTTGGTCCATTTGGTAACTGCCCTTCGACCAAAATTATGCCCATGTCCAGAAAGCTGAGTTTGTTATTTATAGTTTTTTCCATTTTGAATCTGATTCTTTTGTTGTACTGGTTGAAACATTCCAACATTTCATTTCCTGAGTCTTTTCTTATTATAAGTAAAAGGCCACCGATATATATTTTTTTATTAACAGGGGTTTTTGTTCTATGTTTGAAAATTTTGTTGTCATGAGTTTGTTAAAAAAAAATACCGCTTAGATTCGCTGACACTGTATTTCCCATCCCGAGTCTTCTGAGTTGTTTATAATAATTATTGTTGTACTTAAAATAGATATATTTAGTACATAAACTGACCCCTTTAATGAAAATTTGTTTATATTTGATTTTAGTTTCATTTTTTATGCTATCCCAATTGTCATCTAGAATTTTTAAGCATTCGTCTAATTGGATTTTTGTAAAAAGTGATTCGGCCTCGAAACTTATAATTCCTATGTGCTATAAACTTTGCTGGCTATTTTTTTATTTTATTTTTTTATTTCTTTATGACATTTACAACTGTATTACATAAATACATCAAGTAAATTTGGACATAATTGATATAATGACATGAATACACTTGCTGAGTAACTACCCAATGGTAGCACTCTAATGATATGACTACATTAGGAGATCACGGGGCCATCTTCTTTTCAGACGCCTCGGAGGGTTATCAGAAATTGAAGAGGAAGCAAGGTTAGAAACGAGAGGGTTCGGATGATTTTGAAGTTTATTATGGAAGGATAAGTATCTGGATTGGGCCAGATCCGAAACATAAGGAACATTAAGATCTTTATGGATAATTTTATTAGTGACAAAGTAAGGAGTATTGAGGATTTTACGAAGGATTTTGGATTGTAAGGATTGGATGCGAGAGGAATTCGATGGTTTAGTGGAGCCCCATAGCTCAGCTGGCTATTTTTAAATATCTCTTTCAATTCAATAGCGTTCTTGACGTCAAAATCGTTGTTATTATTAAGAGCATGAAAGGATGGATTTATGAAACTTAAGAGAGCTTCAGTTGTTCTCTCTTACTATTATTATTGTTTATTATAGGTCTCAAAATATTATTGGCTTTGAGTAATTTAATTAGACCATGGATTCTTGGTGGAATTAGTGGAATCTGAAGCTGATACTTTTGTTTTTAGCGAATTTGTCAATATAACCCAATATATGCAATTTTTGTATGTATTTATTGATTTTACTTTTTAATTCAGGTATAGGAATGTTTCTGATTTTGCTGTAAGTGTTTTTGTCATTCAATAGTTCCTCCATTTCGCTGTTATAATTTGTTTTATAGAGCATGGCTATTTTTATTTGTTTTATCTGTTTTTATGATGACAATATCGTTATGTTGATTTATGAACTGTTTTAGTTTGATGAGGTCTTTGTTTATTTGAATATTGATAGGTGACACTGTTTTAGTTTTGTTGGAGATAAAGTTATTATTGAGTGTACATATTTTGTTTCAGGTTGCATTTACATGATTTTCTGGTGTGTGTATGCTACCAAATATGTTCTCACCGTCTATTATTAAATTGATTATATCACTATTGTTTTCAAAAGATAAAATAAATTCAATAGATAATTTATTAATTGAACTGTCAGAATTGTCCTAAAATTTACTTTCGTGGAATATCAAAACAACTAAATACCAGAACTTCACAGCACATTTCCAACTACAAAAAACATAAACTCCACAGCATTAGCATGCCATACAATTACAACACAAATTAAATTAAAAAAAAATCACAAATAATAGAAACAGAACCATAAAATAACAACAGAAAATTATTCGAAGCCATCCCCATCACAAAAAAGCAATAGAATAATAGTAAATTACAAGACAGATACCAAACATTTAGAAATAAATTGCGCAAATATTTTAAACAAAATCAAAATATGGTAAAACTGGAATGCTGCTATGTAACCAACAGTCATTAAACATCAATAGTAAACTAGTAAATAATCAGATACAAATGTTAATAACATCATCCTTAGCAGAAACCCAATTATTAGTCCCAGGAATGTGATGCTCCAGACAGTATGTTTTTCATATATCACAATCATATCAAATTATGACAAAGGAGCACAGAAGACTTTAGGTACTTATAGCAAATTACGCAACAGCATTACATTAACATGTATGTTTTTTAACATGCATTCTGTATGTAACATGCATTCTTTTTTAATTAACTCGTTTCTAACCATTAATTCTAATGGAAGTACGGGATTTAAATTTTTAAAATGTGAATAATTTTCCCGAAATGTCAACTTGACATGAATTTCAACAAATAAACCAATTGTTTGTATACTTGGAAGTTTTTATTGCTAAAACCAAGAATATTAAAAAGCTTCCCTACAAAAAAAAAAAAATAAAAAAAAAAAATAACAGAAAATAAATATTTCTTATGCTCTCACTTCCTGTTTAACAAAAACACACACTTAAAATACACAGAACTTTTCTGCGGAAAATCGTACAATTGAGGTCTACTATCACCCATTTTAATACCCCCCTTTACTTCCGGGGAACCCAATATACCTATGAATAAAAAAATATTATCAATATTAGATAAACTATTAGAAACTCTAGACCTATCAATTTGTAATGTAAAAAACAAAAATCTTATCTCCCATTAGACTTCCCCTGACCGTTGCACTGCTATTTACATCCCATAAAACTCATTTATTAATTTATTTCTTTATACTATTAATGAGTTATTACATTTAATAGTCAAATTTTATTTGTATAGATAATTATCTGTTTATCTTCCAGGTCTTTCAATACGGCTTTAAGACATTTAGTGGAAAGAAGCCAGCCAGAATCCGGGTGTCAACTCTGCTTAAAATTTACGGCCTAAGGGATATTCCTACAAGATCTGGAGACACAGAGGAATTGCTTGTTCTTAAATATTATTTAAGAGCACTGTGCTTGATACACAATTGGGTATGAAAGTTACGAATATATTCCAAAAAACATTGAAAGATGAAACAATTAGTCCAGTCAATGAATCGCCCAAAAGGGGGTGTAGAGTGAGTGAGTACGGACATAAGAATTCCTTCAGGAAATTGTGGTTAGGGTGTGAACATATCAAAAAGTCCTAATGGTTAGGTAGAGAGCCGAGGGGGGGGGGGTGAAGGTGAGGGGGGGAGAAGAAAGGTCATAATTTTCAGGTTTCGAATTATATCTCGAAAACGGTGCTTCGGAGGAGAAAATGTACAAAATAATCTAAAACTTTTATTCAATAAGGATTTTTCCGAATCCTCATCCTTTTTGGTGTTACATGTTTTTGAAAAAAAAAACATTTTAACTCATATTTTTTATCAAAAATTTCTTCATATTCATAAAAAATTTTGTCTAAGCTATTCGTCAACGAAATAAATTTATTTTAAAAAAGTTGTTGAAATTTAAACTCCCTATTAGAGTATATAGTATATATACGCAAATTAATGTAAATCCTGTCTACAGTTACAGCTATTTTAACCTTTTCCTAAAATGTTGTGATTTTCAGAAGTTTTTTTATTATATTCTTGACCCACAACGTTTGTCAGTTTGCCTAATAATATCTGTGGCCACCTTTAATCCAATCATGTTACTTGAAAAATGTAATAATGTATTTAACATAAAATAAAAAGTCTCATGATGATTTTGTTACATTAAATAAATACAATTAGAAAACTTCGTTGTTATCACTATCACTTTTCTTCACAACTTCTTAATATTACACTCACAACTTTGTATTCACGTTTTCATCCTCTTTGGACGTCAGGGTCCGGGCAAGGGTTGTTCGTCCATGGCATCTTCACCATCCCTACGGGGTTGTTCTTGCTGAATGGGCTCTGTCTTCATCGTCATCCTCGGCAACAGGCATAGGCGCAGACTTGGGAGAGCGGGGGGCAAGAGGGTGATCGCCTCCCTCCCGCTCCCAATAAAAATGTTGAGGGGCGAGAATATCATTTCACCCCTCCCCCCCAGACAATTTGAAGTAGAAAAAGTAACTAAAATTTATAAAAATTAAGATGTATGAATAAATAAAATATGTAAACTAAAATAGATATTTATGTAAATTCTATATATTGGTTTGGCAAATAAGTCCTTTCGGTTTTTTCTGTTGTTTTTTTTATATCACTATGATACTCTTCTTACCTGATGAATTAATCCATAAGGTGGATTGCTTATCCTGTTTGTAAAATGTCAACAACTGTATCTGTTAACTCTTGTTGAAACTAGCTTGGTATTGTGTTTGCCATTGCACTGTGGATATGGAAGAAAATATTCATTATCGGCATATTTCTGGTCGTTCACATGAAATCGAAACGAGGAATGTTGATCAAAATCCCACCCAATCAGTGCGAGAGATTGCTATGGCCCTAAATTATGTATTTATATTTTTATAAATATAATTATGTATATATATTATGTATCTATATTTATTATGTATGTACAAGCTTAGAAAACCATTCGCATAAGCTCGGCTATGTTTCTAGTCCTTAGGCTAGCCAGCTAGTCGTCTTTTCTTAATAGATTTACATATTTTATTTATCAGTCTCGTGTAAGCATTGGAAGAGATAAGACGTGCCTCTCTAGTCGCTCACAGATAAGAGTATGTACATTTATACTAATTTCTTTTTCTTATAACTTTTCACTTACGATTATTTATTTACTATAAAGACTTTATTATTTATTTATTATAAACTATAAGGATATTTTTATTTTTATTTCATTTTATCTTTTTTTTTTCTTTACTACTTGCTTTCTTTTAATTCCTTCTATTACGTTTTATTTTATCCATCTATGGGGGATCCCATAGATTTAAATAGCCCAAAGGTTAAACCAGATGCCTCGTCCAGTTCTTTTTGTTGGGGATCTGAACGGCCCAACACTTTATGGGGCTCCCAAAACATTAACACGCGGGCTAAAATAATAGAAAGTGTTTTAGACGCTTCTAATCTGCTTCTACTCAACACCGGAGAACCTACCTTTCCTATCTTAAGTTATGGTACATACCCGACTCTCGATCTGCAATTCTATGATTCCTCGTTGTTTAACATTACAAACTGGACGATTTTGCCCGATTTATATAGTAGTGACCATTTCCTAATACTCATAAAATTCAAATTAACGAATCCCACTCGAGTAAAACCGAGATTTGTCCTAAATAAAACTGACTGGACTTTATTCTCTTCCTTAGCCTCATCACCTCAAACACCCCCGTATCAAATGGATATCGATAAAGGTGGCGAAACCATCACAAATACGATCCTAGAAGCGGCTAAAGCATCAATACCAATGACCTCTGGCTCATCAAGAAGACCACTTGTTTGCAAGGAAACCATTAAAGATCACCGTAAAGCCTACAAAAATTCCAGAAATGTATGACCTCTCAAAATTTAATAGAATATAAAAGACATCGTGCTATATGTAGAAGGATAATCGATCAGTGTAAGACTGAGTCCTGGAAAAATTCATTAGCTCCATCAATTCCTCAGCAACATCAACTGACGTTTGGAACAAACTCCGTAAATTCACTAAAACTTCCCTTTCCTCTCGGTATACTATTTTGGTCAATGGACAACTGTATGTCAGTCCTCTGTCAGTCTCAAACACATTTGCAATTTTTTTCTCTGAAATATTTAACTCCAGAAGAAATAATATAAGCTTTAAAAGCATAGAGCCTGAGAGGACAATTGGCGATGAATTATTATGTTACAACCTACCATTTTCAATGTGGGAATTCAAAAACATATTAAGTACTGTTAAAAGCACAACCCCTGATCCTGATCGTATCCACTTTGACATGATAACAAATCATCCGAATAATATACTGGAGTTGTTACTCGAATATTATAATCATGTCTGGTCCACTGAACAGTTCCCGAATAACTGGCTTTATTCGGTGGTCATCCCAATCCTAAAAAACGGAAATGATAAACGTTTACCAAACAGCTATCGCCCTATATTTCTTACAAGCTGCTTAAGGAAAATAATGGAGCGGATGATTAATAAAAGACTAATGTGGATAATAGAGAATAACAAGTTAATCCAACCTTTTCAATCGGGATTCAGTAAGGGTCGATGCACATTAGATCATTTAGTTGCACTGGAAGCTGAAACACAATATACTTTTATCAACGCATAACAAACAATGGCCATTTTGTTCGACATGAAAAAAAGCTTTCGATAATATAAATCACTCCACAATCCTCAATAAAGTATCATCCGTTGGAATAAGAAGCCAAATGTATAGCTATAATAGGCAATTTCTCATACACCGTCGCTTTAGAGTTCAATTAGGAGGCGAATTATCCGAGAACCACGAACAGTTCAACGGTGTTCCTCAAGGTTGTGTCCTAAGTCCAACTCTGTTCTGTCTGGCGATAAATGATTTGGGCCTCAACTTAACAAGAGGAGTCAATCCAGTTCTATTCGCAGATGATCAAGCTCTGACGATCTGACAACATTAACACTATAAGATACAAACTACAGGACACTGTCAATTGAATCAACAACTGGTCCCTTTCTATTGGTCTCCAATTTTCTTCCGCAAAAACTAAGTGCTTACATTTCAATTGAAAAACACCCCTAACTCACCCGAAATCTATCTCGGAAATTCCATAATCCCGTATTCGAACCAACATAGATTCTTGGGTATAATTTTTGACCGAAAACTAACTTGGGAACCGCACATTGCTGCACTAAAAACAGCCACTACAAAAAGAATAACTACCTTACGATATCTGAGCGGTACTTCACTGGGGATCAGACAGACTCATGTATGTATGTATGGAGGTTTTGTATGCTCAAAATTAGACTATGGGTGCTTTATATACGGTTCTGGCCGCTATCGGAACCTAACAAAAACTTGATACAGTCCACCATACACGCATTAGGATAGCGACTGGCGCGTTTCGAAGCCCCATCCTAAGTCTTTGTTCTGGGGCCGGAATACCTCCTCTTTTATTCAGAAGGAAAAAACTGGACTGGCTGTCAATTATATTTCAAGGCTACTTCCCCAAAATAAACATCCTACACATGACTTCATTTTTAAACCCAAATTTTCTAACTCTTTTAGAAATAAAACAAATTCCACATTCCCACTGTCAGAAAGAATTTTTTCAGCTGCTCAATTCCTTAAAAACTTACCTTTATACAATGTAGAAAACCAAAACCCACCTTGGATCTACAAACTCCCCAAAACAATTCTCTGTCTCTCTCGATTACTCAAAAGCAATATCTCACCTTCCGAGTACAAAACCAAATTTTTCTTCTACAAAAAATTTATGAACCATTTTTAATTCATACTGATGTTTCGAAATCCGATGATACTAAAGCTTCTTCGTTTGTTATCCATAACTCCACTCATAAAATAAAACTACGTAAGCTAAACAACGTATACACAGCGGAACTTCATGCAATAGCCTCAGTCCTCCACTTCTGTATGTCAATAACTCCAGCTTCAATAGTCTTGATAACCAACTCCTAGAGTTCATTAAAAGGTTTAAAAGACGTGTACTCCAAAGATTCAGTTATCCTTAAAATACACAAATATCTTCGCATTCCAGAAAATTTGGGAATCTGTTTGCTTTATATTGATTCTCAGTCACGTGGGTACAGTTGGTAATGAGCTTAAAGATGCGAGAGCCAAACAAGCACTCTCGCTCCCAGGCCGAGGTACTCCTATCCTGGCCCCTCCAAAAACGAGTTTTCCTCCCAGAAAGGAAATATCAGATAGTTGGCAATCTATGTAGAACGAAAGCCCATCTAGTAAATTAAAAGTTGTTAAAAAATCAGTGAAGCCCTGGAAAACCGGATATATCAGCAGCATTAAACAATAACGAATCAAACATAAAAATAGTAATAAATTTTCTTAAAATCCATTAGCTAATAAATAAAATACAGAAATAAATATCATATCTATTTTATTATGTATTTCTTTTTTTTTATTCAAATATGTTTCATTTTGTAGATTTTTTTAAAAATATCTTTTTCATTTATTTTATTTATTTATTCTATGTCTCTATTATTAATTTTTGATTATTCATTGTTTGTTTTTTTCTCTTCTAAAGTGTTTATATATATAATCGACTCATAGGCGTTGATGACCCTAGGGTTTAAAGAATTAAAACTCTAGGGTTTCACGCCTTAATTCCTAAACAAACAAACAAACAATACTTTATTTATTCATGTAGCTTATTTGTTATCAATGTTAATTATTTTTTTACTTCAAATTATATGGAGGAGGGGGAGGGAGCGAAACAATATTCTTGACCACTCTACATTTTTATTTGAGAATAGGAGCCCCCTCGCCACTTCCCCCCTCTGGTCTGCGCCTAAGCCTGTTGTCGAGGGCGGCAATGTAGACGACGTAGAGCCCATTCAGGTGGAACCACCCTCTGCGGACGGTGAAGATCCCATGGACGAACAACCCTTGCCAGGACTCTGACGTCCACAGAGGATGAAAACGCGAATCCTTATAAAGTTGTGAGTGTAATATTATAAGACGTTACTGAGAAAAGCTATAATAATGGAGCTTTGCTTTATTTAATAATTGGATTTATAGAGTGCCAACACATAGTAGATAAACGAACAAACGTTGTGAGTCAAGGATGTGTTAAAAACACTTTTTTTTTTAAATGATAACATTTTACGAAAAATGTTAAAATATCTGGGCTGAAGCTCCCCCGAAAATGGTAAAATATAATCATGTTTTACAAAAAAAAAATTTTAAAAACTACCTCTTAAATTATTCTTGTTCGTTTAATTACATTTAATAGGACTTCAAGAACCACTTAAACACCATTTCATATAGGTAGTTAGTTAATTACTTACAATAACAAAATAGAACAAAATTAAAAGATTACATCTGGCCAAAATAAAATCAATCGAAAAAAAGAAATAATGTAAAGAAAATATAAGGTGAACATTCTATATACAAACCAAACGAAACTATATACAAAACAATTAATACTATGACAAGACACTTAAAGCTATTTGCACTGATAGACCAGTATACACTTTTAAGAAAATAATAAAGAATTAAAAAATTAAAATATATCAAATTCTCTATTAAAATCAGTTCGAATGGTTAGCAACTATCTGACTGTTTTTGGGATAGGAATTGGAATAGGAGGGTTTTGAATGTTGATATGGATGGGGAATGTCGAATTTTGGAACAATAAAGGAATTTTGGAATGAGGCAGATCTGTGAGAATGCATGTAAAGGTTAGAAGGTCGAGATCTTGTGGACAGGGAATGGACTGAGGATTTGAACTGGAGAAGGTTGTAGGAGTAAGAAGGACGATGGTTGTTGATGATTTGGTAGAGGAACGTACCTAGGAAATATTGTCTTCGGAAGGAGGGGAAAAGCCACTTTAACTCAGCGTAGTGGTGAGAAACATTGGAGTATCTTGGGGCTCCGATCACAAATCTTACGCAGCTGTTCATTATATATATTCTAATAGGGAATTTAAGTCTCTACATCTTCTTTTAAATGAATTTCTTTAGCTGCAGTGAATAGCTTAGATCATATGAAGGAATCTTTGATTGCCAACTTTTTCCGAACGTGTAGCACTAAAACGGTTGAGAATTCGGAAAAAAAAAACAACTATGGAATAAAAGTTTTAGATGACTTTATAAACTTATATTTACTTTTCGACAATTTCCCCCTCCGATGCATCGTTTTCGAGATAGAATCGGAAACCTGAAAATTGTGACCTTTCCTTCCCCCCTCCCATCTCGGCTCTCCACATAGACTTTAGGAATTTTGATATGTTCACACCCTAATCACCTTAAATAATTTTCTGAAGGAATTGCTTAGGTCCCTGCTCACGCACTTTATACCTCATTCCTTGATTGCACTAAATGAATTTAGCAGATGCCACGTTTGTTATGTAGTGGTTATACTTTAGAAAATGTCCTTGGAAAAATAACGCTTCATCAAGTGATTGCTTTAACTTAAAGCGAAAAGGATTACATGTCCTTTTATCATTTTCGTTATTTAGGATCAATAAGATTACCGGATAGGACAGGATACCAGAATGCTTAATCATTTCTGTACTTTTCCTTATAAAATCCGTATTAATACAGTCTATTTTTTTGTTCAACAAAGGATAAGTGTTGAAACTAAAATATATGATCGAGTCCCGGAGAAATAAATACACAAAACAAACGAACTATCGAAATAATTTTATTCATAAAACTTTCACAGCAATTAGAAACTACAGTTTATATAAATAATATATATATATATATATATATATATATATATATATATATATATATATATATATATATATTAAATATAGATATCCCTTAATCAACATCCCTTATCAAAGATTCTACAGGTCAACCTCTTCTTTAAGATACTAATCCTACATCATCAGCCATATATGGTACCGGCATCTAGTTAATTTCTTAAGGTCATGTCTATTACTTTATATTTCATTCAGTTTGTCCCTCATTCTGTTGCTTTATTAACAAGATGGGATTATAATATCTTCACTGGGAAAGTACAGTGATATCTTCCTAGAGAAGATTTTGGTCCCACGAACTTTTCGTTGAAGCATTCGCCAGTTTTTCCGCTTTACTTGAAAATGATTTTACAGGAGATTAAGTGACGGCTAACATGTACATTTGAAATTGAAAAATAAAAACTAATTTAATAATGTCACCTTATTTTTTATCTACTAATATTTTTTTGTAAATTATAATAAATCTATTTATTAAAGTTCAGCTGTGTGTATTTGAATCAAAGTATACTTTCTAGTTTTTTTGGCTGTATGAAGTTTGTTTCAGCAGTCAATTGGAAATTAATTTTTTTATTATTATTACCTATTTATTGGTATTTTTATTTTATAGATTCAAATTGATGTGAAGGAAAAGAAACACAGGCTGAGGATTTCTTGGCCAGGTAAATTTACTGGATTGGGTTCATCATTTTCAGCCGTCATTCAATCTGATGCCATCATAATTCCGGTACATGCCGAATTACTTCAAGTTAGGCTTAAAGGATTTATTGCCTTAGATACATCATCAACCAGTTCTTACCAGTATATTTTTATCAACAGGAAGTTTGTTCAATTCCAATTTCCGTATTCCCTCATGAACCGAATACTTTCCACAATATTCGGTATTACCACAATGGAAACCTTAGAATACCTGGATAGACAATTTTTTAAATATGTATTATGTATCGAATGCCCAGCCACCTATTGCAAGATTCATTACGGTCCCTTTATTCCGGAAATTAGATTAAAAAATCTGACACCAGTTGTTGCATGCTTCAATGTTTTGTATAAAAACATCGAAATGATGTATAACCTCAAGAAAATGTGCCGATATAACCGGCAGAGATTAGGGCAGAAGTTCAAAATGACAATTAAAGACAGATTGGAAGCATACAGGTATAAGCTGATGTTAATACTTGATTATTCATGGGAACAGGATTTTGAATTTCTTATTGAGCCCATACAATCCTTGAAAGACAATCAGTGTTTCAATATTGATGATACCAGCAAATATTTACACCGGCTTTTGCTAACAGTAAGAACACAATTTGGAGCTTTCCGGTTGACTATATTTGATGAATATTTTGAAACGACCGAGGAAGCTTTACTACAATATATAAGGTTCATGCTCAATGCTTGGATCGACAATCCAGTTAAAAGAAATGAGTATTTCAATTATTTTAAAATGATAATTTCTGTATTTAGCAACACCCCTACCCTAGAAGTTACTACAGCTCTATTAAGAACAAATTGCGTATCTGTACATGATTCAACAATACTAGAGGTGGAGAACGGACTAAGCGAAATGCACTTGGAGGAATCACGTAATACAGATAGTGGAGGGGGTAAGTTATTTCTATTAGGTTTTTAAATTTAACTTTTACAAATTGAATGAAGTATGCTTATAGTAGGTGTGATGTTGGCAGAATGTAATCCACAAGAATTGAATTATGAGGAGAGGTACTCTGGTTTATGACTAACCACTAGAAATCCATATCAAACTTTTAATGCTGTCGGGAGGAATTCATATGCACCAAAAGGCACATCACCTATGGCAGATAAATTTGAACGTATCGCTGTGTGCAGTGGACATGCAATCGGACCTTACTCTGCTTGTGATGAAAGTCTCCATTTACCTATTGATGATATGAATAGAAGCATAGGTAAGATCCTCAGCATGTGATAATCTGTTCTATATTTGTAACTGTGTTGCTTAATGTTTTCTTGTCCCCTGAGTCAAAATAACCAAGTCTCGCAAAAGGCTGGTCAGTTGAGTTTTTCTAGTGGCGACAGTAATGTTAACGTGAAGAGGGGCTACAGAATTTTGAGGGCAGCATGACTCGAGCGATGTTGCTTTTGAGCTTAAAAAATGTCATGATGATATTTGTTTCGTAATTATCATCTATAATATTGTTTATATATTTTTATTTATTTTATAAAACGTTGACTTTTATATGGGGGGGGAGAGGGGAGGTGAATATTGAAAGAAGAAGTATAAAATATTAAATTAAGATTGCACCTCCTAAAATATCCTAGGTCTGGTCCGATCCGAAAATCCCGACCAATGCTGTTCCTGGCGTAAGTTGTGCGTTATAAAACAGGTTATTACCATGTTTGAGAAAATAAATTTCTTAACATGTTGAACTGAATTTCCTTGCAGGTTTTTCAACGAAGGCGACTATACCAACTTTATACAGTGACATTAGGACTATTCCCAAGGATTCATTCCGACATATGAAAGTAAGTAGAAAATTTAATAGGGTTTGCCTACAATTTTAAATTCACATAGATCATTAGAGTTACATTATATTATATTAAATTTACTAAAACAAAGCCTGAAATTTCTCACACAGTAGTAAATATCTGATCCACCAAAGTGTCACCAAAGCAAACGCAATTAGGATAAAACAATTAGGACAGATAAAATTAAGTTCGTAGAAAAAATTATATGTTGAGTAGTCTTAAAGTGCTGTATTATCTCTTTTTATTCATTAAACTGTTGATTTGAGATGTGCGATCTTAACCTTTTTCTGTCCAGATGAGGCCTGATTGGTGAAACATTGATTGGCGCATTTTCACTGGTATATAGGAATCCTTTGCATTAGAATATTCTATTAAAATGCTAACTATTATTTTTGTATCTTTTCTTTTTTTAAGTTAGATTTTTACTCAAATTAATTACTAGTCATTAAAATTGTTTAGTTCGATACCATTCTACCCAGTTCTAATAGTATCCAACCTTATCGTTAGGCAAATAGTAAACGTATTTCTGGCTGTTATCAATAATTAAACTAACCATTTCTTCCTAAAATCCAACTCAAAATACATTAAACTAATAACTTTTGTTTTTACTAAATCAAAGTTTCTTCTTTAGGTTGTTGGACAACTTGATACAAAGTTTATCATTTGTGAATTGAAGGAAGAGCAAGGACGAAATGAAACCGGATTCATTATATTTGACCAGCATGGAATCGATGAAAGGATCCGTCTCGAAGATTTTTCAAACAGTAAGTTTCAATACGGGATATGATATTTTAAAACATTATTTATTTTTAAAAATTAATTATATCACGTTTACTTTTTCATTATATACACTTTTTTCCTGTATTTTTTTTATATAGTGCGATATAGCATAAAGTTTTTAGTGGGATTTTTGAATACTGCTTTTTGTCGAAACATCGTTGTATCTTTTATGGAAATATTGATCGGCGTTTCTGTCACACATTTCACCCGAAAATTTTCAATCAAATCTTTGATGAAAATAAATCGAAACCTCATTGTTCGTTCTGTGACCCTTAGAAGATGGGAAATTAAACGCGCTAAAATCACATAGTTCGGCCATCAAACATATTTTACTTTAAAGGAAACTCCTAATAACAATTACTTGTCAATAAAACAAAATTTTAAAAATGATTTTATTAATAAATCAACTAGCAATATAGGTTTTCCACCTAAAACGACAACATATTTTGATCCAGCATAATAAGAAAACCAGTTTTGTTGAAAATATAATCTAAAACAAAATTCGTTTTAATTTTGAGTATCATACCAGACTGAAACGACAAGAAACCGCTCGACGTTTCCGACTACTCCAACACTTACTAGACAAACGCTCTAAACTTCCCCTTAATTACAAAAGACTCATATATTTGACTATAATAAGACCTATTTGGACTTACGGAGTTGAGCTATGGGGCTCCACTAAACCATCGAATTCCTCTCGCATCCAATCCTTACAATCCAAAATCCTTCGTAAAATCCTCTATGCTCCTTACTTTGTCACAAATAAAATAATCCATAAAGACCTCAATGTTCCATATGTTTCCGATTTGGCCAAATCCAGATACCTATCCTTCCATAATAAACTTCATAACCATCCGAATCCTCTTGTTTCTAACCTTGCTTCCTCTTCGATTCCTGATAACCCTCCGAGGCCTGATGGCCTCGTGATCTTCTCATGTAGACAAATTATTAGAGTGCTACCAATGGGTAGTTTCTCAACAAGCGTGTTTCAAGTAATAATATTCCTCTGTACACATTTACTTGATGTATTCATACTAATACAGTTGTAAATATCATAATAAAAGTTTAAAAAAAAAAAAAAAGTTGAGTGGATTCTAACCTTTTTATACCATGAAATTATTTTTCTTGTTTTCATCTTATTTGTGAATAATACAATTCATATTTCTGCTCTACAACCGCGACTATTAGAGTGATCAGTTTTTTTTTTTTTTTTTTTTTTAAATAATTGAATTTTATAAATCACAATAAATGCAATTAAAAATCGAAATAACGTATTTATATTTTAGAATTTTTTTTTCTGTTGGCATTTCACAGACCATGTACATCTTTTGGCGCATTAACGCCTCCATCTCTTCCTGTCTTGGGCTACTTCTTTCCTTTTATCTGCACGCAGCTCTGTGCATCTTTGTTGATTCTATCTACCTATCTGCTTTTTGGACTTTTACGTGGTCTTATATTTTATAATATATCTGTTTTATAATACGATGCATGTATTACTTAAAAGCGTATTCCTTAAATTTCTAATAGCTTACTCCTTTTTTCTCATAAGGTGATAAAAATAAATCCTGATTGTCATTTCGTAATTCACAGATCCTTCTGACGACGGCTGTTTGCCCAAACATCACATTCATAATTGGATTTTGTTAAGATTAAGTAACCAGGATATTCGATTAATACTTAAATTTGCCAATTACTTTGACAGAAATGGAATGGATTTAGCTTCAGTCTCATCTGGAACATTGGTTGTTCAATCAATTCCTGAGATATTGCACCTCCTTGGTGGATATTGGGTAAGCTAATAATTACAAATGTTATTTAGTTAAATAGTTTAATATGTCTTTAAAAATCAAATATTTAAACGCAATCTAATATGGACACAACCTCTATTGGAATTTTTGTTAATATTAAACAGATGATTGTAATTAAGGCTTTATTTATTAATTCTTTTAATATGATTCCAAATCAGCCAAGGATAAGATTTATTTTTCTTTTATAATAAAATAATATAGACATTTATATTTATATTTTGTAAATATGAAACCATGTATAATTGAACCTTAATGCCAGAATAAAACATAAAGCAGTTTTTTTTATATATTTATATTTTATTTAGGATAAATTTATGAATGCTAAAATATTGGGAACTGGATTAAAACTAAATGTGTGACGAAAATTTCGCCTTAAAAACCAATTCAATTTTTGTTTTCTTTCAGTTTGTTATCTTTATTCGCAATTATTGATATTTTCTCATAAATACGGTTATAACTTAACAATTATTTATTTTAAGCAACGTTGCTCATTTCCTTTGCATCCGAATCCTGACCTAAATTGTTCTGTTTTTTTTTCTTCTTTTTTTCCAGCACTTTCAGCTCGAAGTATTTCAGCACAAGATATTTTTTAAACCGCTTTTATTACATTATAAACTGTGATGAGACGTGTACTTTGCGAAAAAATTCCACAGCACAACATTTGCGAAATACTTTGATGTCTGCAGCTCGCACTTGTGTGACCGGGCGAGGAGAGTCGAGCTACTGTAACGCGAGTAACGCAGTTGCATTAACTGTCCATTAGCAGGTCAGCAACTCGCACTGTGTAACCAGTCCCTTACACTGGGGCTCCGGGACAATCGCAATCGGCAATCGGGACAATTTTCATGGGTGCTGTTAGAAATAAAATAAAAATCAGTAATAAAAAATTAGTAAAAGAAATTTTAATCTATTATATATTCAGTAGTAATTAATTGGGTTTCTTTTCTCAAAGGCTGTTTTGTATTTATCATGCTTTCTCATTATCAACATTACCTGTGATAACAATGATATAAATAGGTGACAGAAATAAAAATAACTTTAATTCTTATTTTCTTATTTTTGCTGGGAAGCTGTATGATATTCTCTGTTTTCGGCATTGATAAGTTCCAAATAGATAACAATTGATTTATTTGTTGAATTTACATATTGAGTTTATTGTAACATGCATTATTTTTTAATTACCTCTTTTCTAGCCATGAATCGCTAAGAAAATATGTGATTGTAAGTTCTGAAGATGGGAATAAATGTCTCGAAACGTAAACTCAATATGTAAATTCAACAAATAAATCAATTGTTGTATATTTGGAAGTAATCATTGCCAAAGAGAAAAATAACTTTATTAAAAAAACTTAATTTATTCCTATGTTCAATAAAGGATAATATACAATTTATATCAAAATCCTTATGTGCCAATTATATTTATACTAAACTAAATAAAAACAAGATTCCGTATATTTTATAATAACTCTATGAAGATATGATTCAGATGGACTGGTTTGAGATATGTGCCATGAAATATTTGAACATTTATCAATGTACTGTTTGGGAATTAAACTTATCTGAGGATCTAAAAATGATGTGGTTAGTTGAGGGTTGGTCATCTTCGGAGTACTATTCTGGCATCTGCTGATTCGAGATCATCTAGTCCAGTGAAAGCCAAGGTCCAAACCAGTGTTGGCAGTCCAAGCTCTAAGTTCGAAGAAGTCCATCGCCCAGGTCTGTATAGGCCAAGCTGCACCCTCAATATCCAAAGCAGGAAGAAAACAAAAGACTCTTTCCCCCTAATTTTATACAATAATCCATGATGGGGCAAGGATAGTTCTGATTGGCTTTCAACTTCGGCGGATGTAAAATGATTTAAACTAGCCGTAGTACCACTCTGAAGGGGTCAACTAGTTACTAACAATGTTGAGAAAAGGTCCCCAGATGTTTGTAAGTGCTACTCCACCTCGACGGACCCATGTCCCTGTCAAGGAGTGATTGGTGTCGGCTTTCTTACCATAGACCCTTTTCTTTTTTGTGTTTTTCGTTGTCTACACCTGATATTGAATTTAAAATCGTATTTGCTCTATTTAATACATACATAACAAAATAAATCAAATTTATAACATAAATGTCGAATGAAATAAAATTAAAATATTACATAATATAAATCAGCATAAGAAATAAATTTAATATTTTTAGCTGGGTGGCGTTATCGTCCTGGGGCGCCGATTGTCTAAGGCCGGCACTGATAGTTATGTCCGTAAAGAGAAAGCAAATGACGGAACCCAATTCGTTCCTTGCAAATTGTAACAAGATATTATCTTCATTTTTTTCAATATTTTTTTTTTTATTAGTGTAAATGTTTTCTGATATATTTTCATATTGTTTATCCAATTAACTAATTTTGATAACATTTTCAGACAAGAACTCCTTATAGTTACATCAAGTATATGTTTAATATTTTGAAAGAAGTTGTTAATGAACAACTGCACTCCATTAAATGTACAGGGAGTACAACAAATGTGATACCCAATATTATACATAAACAGATGTGTAAGACTGCATGCTCCAGTAAGTATAATGTGTTTCTAGCTTCTAACTTTATTATTATTTTCTTATTCTGACTCTACTGGTGTGATAAAACATTTATATTTTATTCAATATTTGTAGATTCTTTATATTTTTATTATATATATTGGCAGCCTCAGAAATTTGGCGCCCCAGGTAGTAAATAAAGTGGGCTCCTCCCTTTTCCCGCAAAAATATATTAAAATAAAGAAAAGAAACTTTATTCTGGGACATTCAGTCGCCATTTTTTTTATTGGCATTACAGAATTTGTAGATCTTTTACAGCCTTAACAAGCCTTCTCCATTTTTGCCTGTCTTGCAGGGGTGACCAGAGGGGGGTATCCGATTTTTGGGTAGGGGGGCCCATTAAATCTTCAATTTTAAGACAACTTTTAAATCAAGAAATGAAGAAAAAAGGACGCCCTGAGGTTCATTTGAAAATAAAAAAATATCAAAGAGAGCCGAATACGTGGAATAGGGGCAGATATGACTTTATTATAAGTATTCAACACAAGCAGGGCACAAGCACAAGTGTTTATTGTGTCTATATAATAAATACAATTAATGCCTTGTCTTTGTCTATGAAACTTATGAAAAATGATCATCAGTGAGAGATCGGTTGGTAGTATTTTAACATTCTGAAAGAAACTAATAAGGAAATAAAGAGTAATTTCTCCATCCTCAAATTAATTGCCCCCCCCCCCGATTATAAAAGAAATTGTACCCCCTTCTGATAACGTTCTTGCAATTATTTAAGATGAAGTTTTTATTTAAAAGGCAAACATATATATTTTTCAAATATTTTATATATATATATATATATTCATTATTTTGTGTTATGTTATTTTGTGTATATATATATATATATATATATACATACACACACAAAATAATGAATTCCCGGTATGAGCGTACTCAGAGGAGGGCAGAGGGGGCCATTTCCCCTCCCTAAATAATTTGAAAGCAAATAAAACATAATATAATATAAAAGGTTTGCCGAAAATTCTAGAAAATTAATTTTTTTAAATTGTTGTTTTATTTGTATGTTAGTATTTGTAGTGGTATTTTTGTGTGTATTTGGAGTGGTTTATTCTTTAGCGCTTTTCACATTAATTTATTGTGTAAATTATTTTCTTCATATTATAATAATGGATTATTTTGATTTAATGGCTTATGTAGATTTAATTATACGATGTTATTATATTATTATTTTTTGTTTAATATATCTCCAATAATCCGACATTTCGGTAATTCCACATATCTTTAATAGATTTAGAAAATTTCCAAGTGAAAATAGAGTTGCTATACTTTCACTTTTATTGTTTTTAAGAAAAATTCTAAACAATCTCACACCGTATGGTTAATTGAAGTTTAAAATAAATATATGCCTATGACGAAACAAATAATTTTTGTTTAAAATCTTTAACACTTTACGAGCCAAAATGATCTTGTACGGTTTACTTTTTTTTTTGTAGATAGGGTGTCATAATCGCCTGGATGCGCCACATGTCTATGCTAACGATATAAATCCAAATTTTTATGTTGTTTTGTAAAAAAAATCGATATAACAATACAAAGCTTGGGCAACCCAGATAACAATGGGTATGAGAAACTATTAATATTAAAAAGAAAAAATAATATGGAGGTGAAAAATGTAGGTGGAATAAACTTTCCTTAAGTTTAAGTTGTTTTTGATTCCTTAAGTTATTTTTTTAATGAATTTCATGGACTTAGTTTTTCTCTAAATATTATTTTAAAATATTTCTTCCTCTACTTACTGCCTATGTCTAACATCGTCCCTTTGAATATTGTTAAATACTAAATTACTAAAGACTGTCATTACGTAAAAAAAGGCGAAGACGGCGCATATCGCTATAAAGGGATGGGTTTCCACCAGCAACGTCGGCACGCACTAGCGCCAACTCGCACCGCGGTTCTTCACTGTTAAAGTACATTAGCTTTTAAGAGAGATTGCGTAATGAACTCGAGTGCAAACTATTAAAACTTATTTTTTTTTTTTAGATATTTTTAAAGTGGTGTATGTAGCGACTTAAAATATTTAAAAAAGCATGTGTTTATTTAAGTAGTTATTTTGTTAGATTAGTTTATTTTTGTTTAGTTTAGTATCTTTTAGTTTATATATATTTACTTTTAGTATTATTATATTGCTGCTTATTTATTTTTTTTATTATGCATAGTACGAATGAGCTAGTCTTTATCACTATTACTATTGTCCTTAAAAGTGGCAGATTGTAATATATCTCAATAGACGAATTTCCTAAATAAAAAAAAAAATACTGCCGAAAACCTGATATGAATATAGATATTTATTGTGCACTATTAGAACTATTAACATTATATATCGTAAAGGAAAGTTATTGCAGAACTGTGAGAAGAAACATTTTCCTAATACGAGTTCAAAAATAATTACGCGTAAGTCTCACCTGTCAGATGGTTAGCAGATGTTGGGGACAGGAGGATCGATCAGAGGATGTGGATAAAAACCATATAAGCCATCTTAAGTACTTTAGTATATTCCAATAATGTTTATAATTATTCAATGTTAAAAGATAAACATGACTGTTATTTCTTTCATTATTTTTGTAATAGGTTAATCTTTTTACGTCTTATACGTTTCGAGACTTTAATTTCTCTTTTATCTCATCAAGAAAGAGAACAATAAATTAGATCAGGCCACCATATAATTACTTTACTTTGATTTAGTTTTTTATGTGGTTCTACATTAACTGGAAAATTAAGAATTTCAGATACGGAAAAGCTGAAACTTTTTCATAAAAATACCACTTTGGTTATAAAAGTGGGGAGAAAATGTGGATGGTGTCAAGAATATATCACCCAAAACATAGAACACCTGCTATTGCAATGCCCCAGACTAAGTATTGATAGGGAAAAATACCTAGGAGATTATATTGTCCAAAACAATAAACAATTATCTTTAGAAAATCTTCTAAATATTGATAGTGCGGACAAACTAAATAATATCTATTTCTTATTGTTAAAAACCATATATAGGTATTTAGAGTAAGGACTATATTATATTATTTTAGGAATAACCATTTAATTATTTATATGTATATAGCTTTGAGAATAACTATTTAGTGTAGTTCTATGTATGTAGTATTGGGAATGAAAGGGAGAGGAGGAGAGCTAGAGAGGAAAAATTAAGAAAAGAAAAAAGGTCTTATTCGATATATTATTGAATCATTAATTAATTTCCAGATATACACTTTTTTATATTGTTTTGGGTTTTAGAAATAATTACCTATTTGTTTATTTATTCTATTTACTTATTGGTAAGATATATATATATATATATATATATATATATATATATATATATATATATATATATATATATATATATATATATATATATATATATTTATATATATATACATATTTTATTTTGTTTTTTTTTCTTTCAATTCGTTTTATTATTGGATTGTATTGGATTGGATCGTATTTCTATCTTTATTTATTTATGTTTTTTTTATGCTTTCATTGCCATTCAATACTAACAACTACTGACACCAAATGGGCCAAACTCCATGGCTAAATGATGTACATAATAGCCAATAAACTATCTATCTATCTATCTACATTAACTGGAAAATTGTTAAATAGATTCTCACATTTTAGGAGCTTGTCATATTGGGTTTCCGTAACAATCTTAACGAAAAGTAAACCGTCTCTTAATTTTTTAACAGTTTTTGCATCCCTGATTAAATTTTTAATACTTTTGTGAATGAAAAACGGTGATATTTTTTTGAAATTCAATGGATTTCCTTCATTATTCATTCCAATTCTTTTTATTATCAAAAATTTCAGGCAATTTTTAGGTTTGTTATGGGAATACCCAGCAAGTGTAACTTTAAATGTCGCCTCTTTTTGCTGGGAGAGATTCGACATCTCGAAGGGAGAGATTCCGCCATAATAATTAATATTAAGAATTTTTGTTATTATTTCTTAATGATATTTACAACTGTATTAAATAAGTACATCTAGTAAATTTGAGTTTGTTTTACTTTTATTTCTATTTTTATTTACTTATGTATATATATTTTTTTTTTCTTTACTCTTTTGTTCTTTTTTCTTATTCTTTTGTTATTACTTTATTTATTTATATTTTTGTATATACGGTATGAATGCAATCTCTGAACTCTATTATAAGTGTCCTTAAACTGTGACAAATTGTAATATTTCTGAATTAAGTGTTTTTTTAAAAGTAAATTTGAACATAATGGATATAATGACATGAAAACATTCGCTGAGTAACTACCCAATGGTAGCACTCTAATGATATATCTACATTAGGAGGTCAAGGGGCCATCTTCTTTTCAGACACCTCAGAGGGTTATCAGGAATTGAAGAGGAAGCAAGGTTAGAAACGAGAGGGTTGGGATGGTTCTGAAGTTTATTATGGAAGGATAGGTATCTGGATTGGGCCAGATCTGAAACAAAAGAAGCATTAAGGTCATTATGGATGGTTTTATTTGTAACTAAGTTGGGAGCATTGAGGATTTTGGATTGTAAAGATTGGATACGAGAGGAATTCGATGGTTTAGTGGAGCCCCATAGCTCCACTCAGCAAGTCCAAATAGGCCTTATTGTAGTCAAGTATATGAGTCTTTTGTAATTAATTGGAAGTTTAGAGCGTTTGTCTAGTAAGTCCTGAAGTAATCGGAAACGTCGAGCGGTTTCTTGTCGATTTAGTCTAGTATGAGGATTCCAAGTTAGTCGTTTGTCCATGTGGAGTCCTAGGTATCGGATTTGCTCAACAGGAATAAGTGGAGTATTGTTAAAGGAAACTAGGATAGGAAGTTGTTTGCGACGATATTAAGAATTAAATTAAAAAATAAAATAATATAAAAAAGTACCTTTTAAAAAGAAAAATATTCTAATAATAAAATATACAAAATTAAAACGTTAAAACATCGCTTGTTGATGATGCCTGATTCTTGGGAGCGCTAAAACCATACACGTCTACACTGCACCAAGTTTATGCCCAAACTGTTGCCCAAGTGTTAATACTATCTACATCTTCGTGTAGCCGTCGGATCACCTCAAGCATCTCGGTGGGATGAAAGGAACCGTAGATTTGAAGATGGTCAGCATATAGGTGGTATTATAAACGATGGATGAAATCAGGAAGGTCGTTGATGTAGAAGGAGAAAATAATTGGAGAGAACGAAGATCCTTGAGGAACACCACGAGTTAGTAAGAGGGAGGAGGAGGGAGTTTTATTTCGAATGATGGCTGTTTGGGATCTGTGATACAAGAAGGAATGGAATCACTTTAGAACGCTATTTTATATGAAAAATTGTTTGCAGTTTGGATCCCAGGATTTCATGATTAACTTAATCGAAGGCTTTTGGAAAATCAAAAAGAACAAGGGTAGAGATTTTTTATTTATCTATGGAGAATTGAAGGTCTTGAGTAGTTTTCAACTCTGATTGGATGGAAAACTGGAATCGGAACCTAGATTGGAGGGGATTGAGGAGAGCATTTTGCACAAGGAAGGTATTTAGTTAAGAATGAACTAGTCTTTCAAGAGGTTTTGTAAGGTTGGAGAGAATGGAGTTGGGTCTGCAATCGGAAAGTTTGGAGGGAATTGTAACTTTGTTTAACTTTAGGGCGAACTATAACTTTTCCAAGCTGATGGGAAACTGGGATTTTGTAGGGGAAAATTGTATATATACAGTAGGACAGGAAGACATAGTTTATTATTTGAAAAGGTGTAGAATTCAAATTTAAGAATTATTCATATTTTACGCGTAATCAGAAACATTGTTAAGTGGTAAGGTGAGGTTATCCATTAACATCGAGGCGTCAGCGATTTAAACGGAACGTTTTTTTGGTTATGCTAGGTCGAACTATCTATGAGGGTTCTTGCCAACTCGCCATGAATGATGTTTGCGGAAAGCTCTACATGGAGGCTAGTATTGGTTGAAAACTTTCATAAACAAATATTTTTGATTGCTTCTTTTTAAAATAAAAGAAAATTAAATCAAGTAAAGAGCTGACAAAACTCCGACGTCCGCTAAATCATTGCATTTTAGTTGAGAACACATATAAATATTCTCTTTTGTAGAGATTTTTTTGTTGCTACCTGTAAACGTGTATAAAAAAAGTTGGATTTTACAAAAGTATGATATTTATTAACTAATTAATGTAATCAAAATGGTGGGTAATCATATAGTTGATATGCGCTTATTTTCTGTTCATTTATTCCTAACACTCAATTTGTTTTTTAGGTGCTATAAAATTTGGGCACTATCTCTCGCTGCAGGATTGCTGCTTTTTGGTTGAAAAACTTTCCAGATGCCATGCACCATTTTTGTGTGCCCATGGAAGGCCTACAGCTTTTTATATTGGTGGGATAAGGCTCAATGATGAAAACGTGAGTTGTGTTATTGGATAATATAGGTTCATTTGATACAAATTTAAAAATGAAACTAAAACGTATCTTTAGTCAAGAAGCAAATTTTAGAAAAAATAAATAAAAAAATATTTAAAAAATAAAATAATAAACTTAAATAACATTCACCATGCAATATAAAAAATTACTCGTCATTTGCAATGATATTAGGTATTACGAATGAAAAATGCATAATCAATTCAAGATTGTAATCGACAGCTCATTGTTAACCAACAAACAATCAATTAATAATTCTAACTTCAGTTATTAACTTTTAAGTATTAAAAAATGGATTTTTTATTTTTATTTTCTGGCTTTTCATCTCCTCTAGTTATCTCTTTTACCACGAATTCTCGTGGTCGAACATTGCTGTCTGTACTCAATTCCCAAAATTTTACCCTTCTTCCACCCAACTCACCTACCTACTGGCCCACTGATCCTAACCATAATCCCGATATCCTCGATTTCTTTATCCATAATGGTTTAGGTGCTCTCAACCATTCCGTTGC